ATAAATACTGTTTTATTAGAAAACAAATACTATATTTGAAAATATAATAAATAACCCTGGACAATTAACACAGCGCCATCTAGTACCAAGTTGAGCAGAGCTTGTGTTATGGGTACTAGACAACTGATATAAATACTGTTTTATTAGAAAACAAATACTATATTTGAAAATATAATAAATAACCCTGGACAATTAACACAGCGCCATCTAGTACCAAGTTGAGCAGAGCTTGTGTTATGGGTACTAGACAACTGATATAAATACTGTTTTATTAGAAAACAAATACTATATTTGAAAATATAATAAATAACCCTGGACAATTAACACAGCGCCATCTAGTACCAAGTTGAGCAGAGCTTGTGTTATGGGTACTAGACAACTGATATAAATACTGTTTTATTAGAAAACAAATACTATATTTGAAAATATAATAAATAACCCTGGACAATTAACACAGCGCCATCTAGTACCAAGTTGAGCAGAGCTTGTGTTATGGGTACTAGACAACTGATATAAATACTGTTTTATTAGAAAACAAATACTATATTTGAAAATATAATAAATAACCCTGGACAATTAACACAGCGCCATCTAGTACCAAGTTGAGCAGAGCTTGTGTTATGGGTACTAGACAACTGATATAAATACTGTTTTATTAGAAAACAAATACTATATTTGAAAATATAATAAATAACCCTGGACAATTAACACAGCGCCATCTAGTACCAAGTTGAGCAGAGCTTGTGTTATGGGTACTAGACAACTGATATAAATACTGTTTTATTAGAAAACAAATACTATATTTGAAAATATAATAAATAACCCTGGACAATTAACACAGCGCCATCTAGTACCAAGTTGAGCAGAGCTTGTGTTATGGGTACTAGACAACTGATATAAATACTGTTTTATTAGAAAACAAATACTATATTTGAAAATATAATAAATAACCCTGGACAATTAACACAGCGCCATCTAGTACCAAGTTGAGCAGAGCTTGTGTTATGGGTACTAGACAACTGATATAAATACTGTTTTATTAGAAAACAAATACTATATTTGAAAATATAATAAATAACCCTGGACAATTAACACAGCGCCATCTAGTACCAAGTTGAGCAGAGCTTGTGTTATGGGTACTAGACAACTGATATAAATACTGTTTTATTAGAAAACAAATACTATATTTGAAAATATAATAAATAACCCTGGACAATTAACACAGCGCCATCTAGTACCAAGTTGAGCAGAGCTTGTGTTATGGGTACTAGACAACTGATATAAATACTGTTTTATTAGAAAACAAATACTATATTTGAAAATATAATAAATAACCCTGGACAATTAACACAGCGCCATCTAGTACCAAGTTGAGCAGAGCTTGTGTTATGGGTACTAGACAACTGATATAAATACTGTTTTATTAGAAAACAAATACTATATTTGAAAATATAATAAATAACCCTGGACAATTAACACAGCGCCATCTAGTACCAAGTTGAGCAGAGCTTGTGTTATGGGTACTAGACAACTGATATAAATACTGTTTTATTAGAAAACAAATACTATATTTGAAAATATAATAAATAACCCTGGACAATTAACACAGCGCCATCTAGTACCAAGTTGAGCAGAGCTTGTGTTATGGGTACTAGACAACTGATATAAATACTGTTTTATTAGAAAACAAATACTATATTTGAAAATATAATAAATAATTAACACAGCGCCATCTAGTAAAGTTGAGCAGAGCTTGTGTTATGGGTACTAGACAACTGATATAAATACTGTTTTATTAGAAAACAAATACTATATTTGAAAATATAATAAATAACCCTGGACAATTAACACAGCGCCATCTAGTACCAAGTTGAGCAGAGCTTGTGTTATGGGTACTAGACAACTGATATAAATACTGTTTTATTAGAAAACAAATACTATATTTGAAAATATAATAAATAACCCTGGACAATTAACACAGCGCCATCTAGTACCAAGTTGAGCAGAGCTTGTGTTATGGGTACTAGACAACTGATATAAATACTGTTTTATTAGAAAACAAATACTATATTTGAAAATATAATAAATAACCCTGGACAATTAACACAGCGCCATCTAGTACCAAGTTGAGCAGAGCTTGTGTTATGGGTACTAGACAACTGATATAAATACTGTTTTATTAGAAAACAAATACTATATTTGAAAATATAATAAATAACCCTGGACAATTAACACAGCGCCATCTAGTACCAAGTTGAGCAGAGCTTGTGTTATGGGTACTAGACAACTGATATAAATACTGTTTTATTAGAAAACAAATACTATATTTGAAAATATAATAAATAACCCTGGACAATTAACACAGCGCCATCTAGTACCAAGTTGAGCAGAGCTTGTGTTATGGGTACTAGACAACTGATATAAATACTGTTTTATTAGAAAACAAATACTATATTTGAAAATATAATAAATAACCCTGGACAATTAACACAGCGCCATCTAGTACCAAGTTGAGCAGAGCGTGTTATGGGTACTAGACAACTGATATAAATACTGTTTTATTAGAAAACAAATACTATATTTGAAAATATAATAAATAACCCCAATTAACACAGCATCTAGTTTGAGCAGAGCTTGTGTTATGGGTACTAGACAACTGATATAAATACTGTTTTATTAGAAAACAAATACTATATTTGAAAATATAATAAATAACCCTGGACAATTAACACAGCGCCATCTAGTACCAAGTTGAGCAGAGCTTGTGTTATGGGTACTAGACAACTGATATAAATACTGTTTTATTAGAAAACAAATACTATATTTGAAAATATAATAAATAACCCTGGACAATTAACACAGCGCCATCTAGTACCAAGTTGAGCAGAGCTTGTGTTATGGGTACTAGACAACTGATATAAATACTGTTTTATTAGAAAACAAATACTATATTTGAAAATATAATAAATAACCCTGGACAATTAACACAGCGCCATCTAGTACCAAGTTGAGCAGAGCTTGTGTTATGGGTACTAGACAACTGATATAAATACTGTTTTATTAGAAAACAAATACTATATTTGAAAATATAATAAATAACCCTGGACAATTAACACAGCGCCATCTAGTACCAAGTTGAGCAGAGCTTGTGTTATGGGTACTAGACAACTGATATAAATACTGTTTTATTAGAAAACAAATACTATATTTGAAAATATAATAAATAACCCTGGACAATTAACACAGCGCCATCTAGTACCAAGTTGAGCAGAGCTTGTGTTATGGGTACTAGACAACTGATATAAATACTGTTTTATTAGAAAACAAATACTATATTTGAAAATATAATAAATAACCCTGGACAATTAACACAGCGCCATCTAGTACCAAGTTGAGCAGAGCTTGTGTTATGGGTACTAGACAACTGATATAAATACTGTTTTATTAGAAAACAAATACTATATTTGAAAATATAATAAATAACCCTGGACAATTAACACAGCGCCATCTAGTACCAAGTTGAGCAGAGCTTGTGTTATGGGTACTAGACAACTGATATAAATACTGTTTTATTAGAAAACAAATACTATATTTGAAAATATAATAAATAACCCTGGACAATTAACACAGCGCCATCTAGTACCAAGTTGAGCAGAGCTTGTGTTATGGGTACTAGACAACTGATATAAATACTGTTTTATTAGAAAACAAATACTATATTTGAAAATATAATAAATAACCCTGGACAATTAACAAAGCGCCATCTAGTACCAAGTTGAGCAGAGCTTGTGTTATTGGTACTAGACAACTGATATAAATACTGTTTTATTAGAAAACAAATACTATATTTGAAAATATAAATACTGTTTTATTAGAAAACAAATATATAAATACTGTTTTATTATTTGAAAATATAATAAATAACCCTGGACAATTAACACAGCGCCATCTAGTACCAAGTTGAGCAGAGCTTGTGTTATGGGTACTAGACAACTGATATAAATACTGTTTTATTAGAAAACAAATACTATATTTGAAAATATAATAAATAACCCTGGACAATTAACACAGCGCCATCTAGTACCAAGTTGAGCAGAGCTTGTGTTATGGGTACTAGACAACTGATATAAATACTGTTTTATTAGAAAACAAATACTATATTTGAAAATATAATAAATAACCCTGGACAATTAACACAGCGCCATCTAGTACCAAGTTGAGCAGAGCTTGTGTTATGGGTACTAGACAACTGATATAAATACTGTTTTATTAGAAAACAAATACTATATTTGAAAATATAATAAATAACCCTGGACAATTAACACAGCGCCATCTAGTACCAAGTTGAGCAGAGCTTGTGTTATGGGTACTAGACAACTGATATAAATACTGTTTTATTAGAAAACAAATACTATATTTGAAAATATAATAAATAACCCTGGACAATTAACACAGCGCCATCTAGTACCAAGTTGAGCAGAGCTTGTGTTATGGGTACTAGACAACTGATATAAATACTGTTTTATTAGAAAACAAATACTATATTTGAAAATATAATAAATAACCCTGGACAATTAACACAGCGCCATCTAGTACCAAGTTGAGCAGAGCTTGTGTTATAGATACACAACTAATACACAAATAATATATATAAATACTAATATTTTTAAGAATGAGCGGTAGATTTTAAAAAATGTGATGACTATTCAAAAGTGCTTAAATATAGGTTTATTTGTAAAAATGATTTTCTATTCTATTCTATTTGTAAATATCAGTCCAGCCATTTCAGAGATTAGCTGGAACAAACAGGCAGACAGATAAAAATTGTAAAAAATGATAATTTGGTGTATGTATGTATTTATATTCATGCATGTAGTAAAAAACTTCAATATTACAAGCAGACACTCTAATTTTATTTATATGTACAGATAAACAATATAATGATATGATATATTGTTTACATAATATATAATTATGTATATAACCACCACATTTTACAGAGATCATGCGATTCTAGTAGTTTACGAAACAAAAATCACAAATACAAACATAGTGAGGAGTACAGAGTAAAAGATCCAGTACAGGACGAAGAGAGGCAGTATACTCAATGTAGAGCACAGAGTATTGTAAGTATTAGAATAGAAAATCCTTTATTTAAATAAACCTGAATAGTCATAACAATTTTTTTAATCTACCGCTCATTCGGAAAGCTGTTTCATCACAAGAAGAACGAGCAAGAAACTTGTGTGTTGCTATTTTAAATAATCCTTGTAAGTTTACCAACTAGCACCAATTTGTTAGGGTCAAATATAAATATACGATAAGATTAAATCAGTCGTAGTGATAAGAGCAGACCAGTTCCTACAAGCAGCAGTCGTTCACGAGTATGACGTATGAGCCAGCCATCACTGTGCTCAACCATATTACTTAGGCTTCGAAGCTATATCACAACTCTATTCAACGCCTGATGATACCTCGTTCAGAGACGTAACATGTGTCGCAATACACGTAGACTCGATAACGGTCGGAATTTGATCAAATTCAAATTCAAAAATCATTTATTCATGTAGGACATTTTAGCCGCTTATGAACGTCAAATTTTTACATTATATCACCAGATCACCAATAGAGATGTTTTTTTTTCGGACTACTCTAATGCTGTTGGCCGCAGGTGACCTTTATAGCTTCACCGGACGATAGAGGGCAAGTGCAGATGGCACTCCTAACCCGCGGAAGGACTTACGGAGCGGCTGAAGGCTAACTCCCGCCTGACGGATACGACTTTACTTTGAGGGTAGGGGTTCGAACCTCGGTTTAGGATGTCGTAATTTCGATCCCCGTTTGTATTGGATGGGGTATCGAGCGGAGACGCACCAATAGAGAAGGTCATGACGGTAGTATATTGTAAAGCATCTTTTGCAAAAAAAAAAATTATCCTAACCAAATGACAAATTTTTAAAGATTAAATTTTTTGTTTAATATCATTATTTTTATTGTTTCAGAGTGATAAAAAAGATAGTTGGTGGTTTTGGGTAAGTTTAAAATCAAAATCAAGAATCATTAGCCGCTTATGAGCGTCAAGTGTTTTGTATTAATATTTTTTCTGTACCATCCAGTTCTTTATACAGATTTAATTGAAAAGAACTGGCAAGAAATGAATGAATTAATTAATTAATTAATTGATTAATTAATAAATGAATGAATGAATGAATGAAACTCTTTATTGTTCCTCTCACAGAAAATACAATTACATATACAATTATGTATAAAATGATAAAAAAAAATATAATACAATAAACAAGACAAAGAGGTAACAATGGGTCGACGTACGTACGTAACGGGCGTACTATACTTTTTTTTTTAACTAGTTAATAATGTACACTTATGTAAGTGTCTGTCTAACATTAAATGAAAATCCCGTGTATGAACAACAATTACCATGCACGCTTGCCATTTAAATAATCGTAGTGTGTAATAGGCTTTGCTCAATAAATATGATTTAACAGAAGTTTTTGATTTATTTAAACGTTATTCTAGAATATTCTTTGATTATTCTAACGGTCCATTGCACAGAATTCCATTATATACATACCTATATTTAGTTATTTATAAACTCTTTGTTGCATCAATCATGTAATACAATAATTATACTTAACAGTGGATTTGAAGTGGAACAGTAAAATGTGGTTTGTAGGGCGCAGATTAGGCAGTGAAATTACAGGATAAGAGGCGTGACATCTTAGTACTCTGGAATGGAACACATAAGTGGTATCACGGGTGTCACATGATAACGTGATGTACGTACTGCTCACGTGTGTAGGTTACGGTTAACACTTACCATCAGGTCGTATATACAAGACTGAAAGAAAAAAGATTTAAATGTCAAATAAAACAGTTCCTTTGCAATAAAGCTTACTATAAAATTGAAGAATTCGTTAACGATAATAATGTTTTTATAGAAAAACTTTAAATCTATAGCACTGACAATATTACAATCTGATTACATTAATAATGAGTGTGTAGCGACTTCTATGTTGATTATCGCATGCCTCTTACTTGTTATACTGTAATTATTTATATAAAAATAAAACATCTATTAAAAAGAACAACACACAAGTTTCTTGCTCATTCTTCTTGTGATGAATCTGCATTCCGAATGTGTGGTAGAATCAAAATTACTGTAATCCTGTATGGGGTAATTAGAGTCATTGTTAATTGTGTGTGTTGTTAAATGTGGTGAACATAGCTTGTATATATTCATTCATTCATTCCTTCATACTATAAGAGCCACGATCCTGTCGGTTGCTCTTACCACGATCTTCCATCATGCTCTTTAAATGTTGATACAACACGATCAAATTTTGTATTTAGTTTGCTTGATATAGCTCTGTCTTGGTATTTCACTCCCCCTCTTTCTTTCTATGTTTCACTCAACAATAACTTTCATAAATTCATCTTGCCGTATCAAGTGTTTTTAATTGTCCCTTGTTTAGCTTGTGTATAATTTCATTTAAAAATTAAAAAAAACATTCCATTTTTTTTATCTATGGTAATTTTTTCTTGTTCAGGCTGACACGCAGAGCCAGAAGCCTAAAGTTGATGAAGATACCTGTTCTTGCGTGTCTTGTGCGTAAGTTAATTTATCAACAAACTTATAGACCTTTCTACTTTAACATGTCCAGGCGCTCCACACCGGTGCCTCTCCGATCGGTCCCTGTGCAATTCAATGGGGATCGAAATTATGGCGGCCTGAGCCGAGGTTCGAACCCCTAGTGGTGCCCTCAGACTAAAGTCATATCCGTCAGGCAGGAGTTGGCCTTCAGTCGCTCCATAAGTCCTTCCGCGGGTTTGAAGTGCCATCTGCACTCGCCCCCTATCGTCCGGTGAAGCTGTAAAGGCCATATGTGAACAACAGCATTATGGTAGTTAACGAAATGAAATAAAAACAAAAATAACAACAAACAAACAAAGTAATTACGCATATTAGAGGAATGTGGGGGTTGATAAACTGTAACTTTTTTTAATGGATGATAAGGGACACTATTCCATTATCATCCATTAAAAAAAATTTACAGTTAAAAGTACAGTGTGGGTACACTCCTATGCTAAAAATGTACTCTAGCGGGGCACCAGTGGAGTAGGATAAAATGAGTATGAGGTCAGGTCAGTTAGCCCATCGTGGCAAATTCACTAGGAATGTATCACGATGGTTTCCAGGGAGAACTGCGAGGTCAACCTGATATGGTACATTGCTACCAATGTGGTCATCAGTCCACATTACTAACAATCTGTCCAAATCATGAAATATACGATCCACCATAAACTCCTAAGTGGTTTTATATAATAAGCCTAGACAATTCACACAGCGCCGTCTAGTCCCAAACTTACCAGAACTTGTGTTATGGGTACTAGACAACTGATAGAATTATACAAGGCATATATTATACAAGGCGTAGATCCGGCCGCATATGGAATACTGTTCTCATTTCTGGGTGGAAACACTACAATACCAGCTACTTCCATTTGACCGCACTCAGAACCAGCCAGAATCATTGGTAATCAACGTCTATGTGACAGGCTCGACCCATTGTCTCTGCGGCGAGATATTGCATCTCTGTTCATTTTCTACCGCATATATCACGGGGAGTGTTCTGAGGAATTCTTCGGATTAATACCAGCTGCTGAGTTTCACCACCGTACCACCCGCCAGAAACTGAAATACCATCCTGATCATCTGGATGAATGACGGTCCTCCACAGTGCGGTTTTCTAGAAACTTTTTGCCACGCACAACCACATTGTGGAATCACCTTTCAGTAATGGTATTTCCGAACCGATACGATATTGAAACCTTCATAAAAAGAACTTATTCCTTTTTAAAAGGCCGACAACGTACTTGTAATTCCTTTATGTTGCGGGTGCTCATGTGCGGCGGTAATCACTTACCATCAGGTGAGCCGCATGCTCGTTTGTCCCCTGTGTTATAAAAAAAAAATACATTTAAAACACATTCTTTTCTGTTTTCTAGATTGAAACAAATGGTTACATCAGAGTATACCTGCATCACATGTTTGGCGTTAATATTCATTCTAACAGTAGTAGTAGCGTTCTACCTTGTGTTCCGGACTGTACCTATAGCTAATAATGATGTGAGACCAGACATTGAACGTAAATTGGACAGCGAAGGTCTGAGGAAGAAGATAGAGATGCTAAATAGCAAACGTGTGGGAGTGAAAGAGTACGCTGCATATAGAGGCAGCTATGATGAGAGGTAAAATAAAGTGTTAAAAAATTTCAAAGTTCAAATGTGGTGATGATGGTGATGTAATCCCGGCAGATTTCGTCCACGGCGACTGTCTTCAACTTCGGTTTTGCCGTTGATAATAATAATAATAATAATAATAATAAGCGCACACACACATACACACACTCTGCACTTACTTGGTTTCGTCCCATAAATGTGGAGAAAACCAGCAAAAGCTGAGAAAAAAAAAATAATGCTGAGAAAAAAAAACTTATTTAAATTACCTCTCTAGACGTTTCGACTAGGTTGCACTAGCCGTGGTCACGAGCTGACTGGAGTAACAGCGATGTCAATGTAGATAATGTAGATAAACGTCGAGAGAGGTAAATACCTTTATTTGCCATAAAATTATTCGTGTTAAGACCCGGTTAATAATTTAAATAATGTATATTAAACACGAAAGTTCAAAATTAACTAAAAAAAACTTAGCAATAATAATAATAATCTCAGGACAATTCACACAGCGCCATCTAGACCCAAGTTAAGCTAGCTAGAGCTTGTGTTATGGGTACTAGATAACTAGTACATAGATATATTTTTTTCGTAAATACTTACATATTATTTATTTATTTATATACACACTATCCTTACAGGCATATGCCCAATACAACAGTACATCCAATATTACAACAGCGGTTTGGTAACATAGCATATATAATACAATTTTATTTATTTATTCATTTATTTCAGGCAACTAGGCCCATATTATAAATACCTTATAGACTAACATACATATAATATAATATTTAAAAACCAATACAACTATATTGTCTGTGTGATCACGGCACTGAAGACGGCAATCTGCCACGGTAGCGCCGATACACCACACCTTTCGGCCAGTAGTCCTCTTTCATGAAGGTGGGCAACAATGCGCTCCTTGTGAATTCACACAGAGTACACACCGTCGAGTCCGTTCTCTCTGCGTCAGTGGTGCTTTCATTACTAAATTAGTCCTACATACAAACAATCATACTCATGAATACAAATGTGCCGGGCGAGGAATCGAACCTGCGACCATCGGAAGCAAGGCTTGAAGCGGTTCTTTTTATTGGATAAAGTGATTCAAGGGGAAGGTTTATATATATATAATACGTTCACCCGTGGGAAGCCGGGGCGAGTAGCTAGTTATCAATATATATTCAAAAATCACTATTCAAAAATATTTGTATATTAAGTTTAATTCAATACAAATGATTTCTGTATCTTTCAGGAAAGATTGGGATGATACTATTTCCGCACAATTAGACGAGCTGCCTAGTCTTTCTGGAACAGGTATCTGTATACTTTATATATAAAATTCTCGTGTCACAATGTTACCATACACCTCTGAAACTTGACCTATTCATATGAAATTAAAAAAATATATAAAAAAGCAAAAATTATTTAATATCGATTTCATATGGTGAAACAACGTTTGCGGGATCAAAAAAAATTTAAAATCTTTATTAAATATTTTTTTTATATTTATTTATTTATTTATTTATTTATTTGAGCGACCAACAAGACATACACTATGAGGTTACAATTATTATAACTTGCGAAACTTGAGTTTCAGGTATATATGTTGACTTAATATATTTCTATTGCCACGGCATGCGAAAATATTTTATAAATAGTTTATAATATATATATATATATATGTATTTGATGTATATATATTAGTTCATACCTTTCTAATTCTTTCATCCCTCACGGGGTGTGAGGGATGAAAGAATGGTTTAATTTTTGAGATAAATTATAGCCTATCTCTGTTATAATGATACAATTGTATTTATATCAAAATTTCGTTAAAATCCATACAGCCGTTTAATTTTGAATAGATAACAAACATACAGACAGACAAAACACTTTCATCTTTAATAATCTATACATATAAATAAAATTGTAGTGTCTGTTTGTAATATTGAAATAACCGTAATAACCAAAATAACATTTTTTTATAATTTTTGTCTGTCTGTCTGCCTGTTTGTTCCGGGTAATCTCTGAAATGGCTGGACCGATTTTGACGGGACTTTTTTTGGCAGGTAGGTGATGTAATAAGGAGTAACTTAGGCTACTTTTATTTTAGAAAAATAATGTTAAATTCCACGCGGATGAAGTCGCGGTTTCAGCTAGTATGAAATAAAATACAACAGCCTTTTATTTACCAAAATAACGTTATTACATGCATTTCTGTTTTCATCAAGTTGGGTGATTTATATATATTTACAAAAAAAGTATTTCTGTCAGTTATCCAGTACATACCCATAACATAAACTTCTCTTACTTTGGCCCCCCTCGATCCCCCGTCCAATTCAAACGGGGATCGATATTACGACGGCCAGAGCCGAGGTTCCAACCCCTAGTGGTGCCCTCAGACTAAAGTCTTATCCGTCAGGCAGGAGTTGGCCTTCAGCCGCTCCATAAGTCCTTCCTTTGGTTTGGAGTGTCATCTGCACTCGCCGTCTATCATCCGGTGAAGCTGTAAAGGCCAGCTGCGGCCAACAGCATTAGAGTAGTACGAAAAAATAAGCTTTTGCCTAGAATTTGAATTAGAAAGTGTATTTTTTTGACTTATGTAGGAATTAGAATTATCTGATTAATAAATATATCGTTTCACTTTCAGATTATTCTGAAAGAAATCTACAAGGTTTGGTGAGTCGATTATTAATTAACTTATAATTTATTCTATTCGTACAGAAAATAAAAAAATAGTTGTTTTTACATGTATATAAGAAATCAGGTGGCAATAATAAAAACTGAATCGATATGTAAGCTGTTTATTCAAAGTTCCTCTTTGTTCTAACTCCAGCGCGTACTAACTACACTTAGATTGTGGAATGAACTACCTGCCGAGGTTTTCTCGAGAGACTACAGCATGGGGTTTTTCAAGAAGGGTATATTAAGGTTTCTTAAGGGTCGGCAACGCGTATGTAACACCCCTGGTGTTTCAGGCGTCCATAGGCTACTGTAACCGTTTACCATCAGATGGGCCGTATGCTTGTTTGCCATCTAAGTGGTATAAAAAATAAACTAACTTTCTGAACCGATTACCCCTTTTTAAGAAGGGTAGTTGTTTCATTCCTTTCCTTTATCTATCATTACACTACAATTATACAAAATAATGCAACATGTAATACTTAAAATAGTTTTAGAAAATAACATAATTAATTATCATTTCCTTGTTGTACTTTTTTGTATCATTATTACATTTTTATATTATCAATAAGTTATGAAATAAACACTAATGTCTCTAATCTAACTAACTGTAAGATGGCGCTATATAGTCAGTACAATACTTGATAGTTTCCTATTTAATCATTTCATAAAGATAATATATAGACATATAAATTACTTCTTACATGTACATGTAAAAAAGAAACTTGCATCGCGAGAAACCAAATAATTCGTGTGTATGAAAGTGTGACAGATATAAAATATAAATTATCTTAATATAAGTACTTAAAAGTCATATTTTTTTGTTTCTACCGCTCATTCGGAAAGCTGTCTCATCACAAGAAGAACGAGCAAGAAACTTGCGTGTTGCTCTTTTAAATAATCGTTGTAACTTTACATTTTTAAGTTGAAATGTGTGAATACAAACTACCAACTAGCTCTAATTCTAGTACTAGTTGCTACGTAACTTAATAACTTGTTTAAGAAAGTATTTTAATAATAATAATAATAATATTAATTTATTTAGCAAAAAAATCAACATTAGCATACATACATTAAATTAATTTTGCAGTATGTTTACATGAATGGATACATACACACACCGCCACTCCTATGCAGTAAAACAATAATTAAAACGATTACACTACTAACAAGTATTTGCTAAACAGGATTCCGCTCAGCATATTGTTGCAGCGGATATTCATATTTATACTTTATCTGCGTATATAGAAATCAGATATAAGATAATATTACGTAACAAAATCCATCGATTATAATCCCATTATATTTTTAAGTTGAAATATGTGAATACAAACTAAAAATTAGCACTAACTCTAATACTAGTTGCTACGTAACTTAATAACAGGTTTAAGAAAATATATTTGTCTGAAGGTATACTTAGCGGGACGTATAGAGAAACCATCGACTATACGTCCCATAAAGCCATCGGATCGTGCCCCGGCAGACTTACAGCTCCCTACTGAATACAGCGACATAAATATTTGTATCCAACACAACGCCAACAAATAAAGCCTTTGACGCAATGTTTTGGGACTCATTTTTATCAATCAGACATTCAAGTACCATTGCTACTCGCTTTTTCTTTTTTCGACCATAGATTATGATTTATAAATTATGACAGCAAGTTTTGGCGCGAAACGGTTGTTTTTATTAAGAACTCGCTGTTTATAGATTTTTATTTTAAACTAGCTACACTCGCGTCTTCTTCCGCGTAGACTTTAACTTTATTTTTTAAAATAATGATAATACAAAAAATAATGATACGAAATGATAAATAATATAAATGATACGATAATGATACAAAAGAGTAGCCTAAGTTACTGCTTAGGCTACTCTTTTATTTTAAGGCCTAAGGACAATCTCTGAAATGGGTGGGCCGATTTTGACGGGACTTTTATTGGCAGGTAGCCGATGTAATAAGGAGTAACTTAGGTTACTTTTATTTTAGAAAAATAAAGTTAAAATCCACGCGATCGAAATCACGGGTACAGCTAGTAATAATAATAATTTAATAATAATAATCTCAGGACAATTCACACAGCGCCATCTAGACCCAAGTTAAGCTAGCTAGAGCTTGTGTTATGGGTACTAGATAACTGATGCATATACAAAGATATTTTTTTTTGTAAATACATACATATTATACATAGAAAACACCCAGACCGATACAAGTAATCATGCTCATGAATACAAATGTTTGTGCCGTGCGAGGAATCGAACCCGCGACCAACGGTCGTAAAGCGGTATGCTTGACCGCCAGACCACCGAAGTAGTAATAAATAAATAAATAAATAGCCCTGGACAGTTAACATAGCGCCATCTTGTCCCACTAGAGACTCTACAAGCAGCACTCTGCAAGAAGCAGTGAATCTCGATGTGTTTTTTTACGTTTCGTGTTACAATGGTGGTAGAGAATGGTAGTAACTGCCGTCTACTCCCACAAGAGACAAGTCTACTCACTAGTCACGCAGCGCTCGGCAAAAAAAGAGTTCTCGATGCGTTTTTTTACGTTTCGACAGACACTCCAATTTTTTTATATGTATAGATATAGATGCGTGATAGTACGTTTTTGGGGCATAAAAGTTACTAATCGCTTTTGTTGTCTGTCTGTCTGTTTGTTCCGGCCAATCTCTGAAATGGCTGGGCCGATTTTGACGTGACTTTTTTTGGCAGGTAGCCGATGTAGTACGAAGTAACTTAGGTTACTTTTATTTTAGAAAAATAAAGTTAAATTCCAAGCGATGTAAATCACAGGTACAGGTAGTAATAAATAAATAAATAATGCTGTGTGAACTGTCCAAGGTACAGTTTACACAGCGCCATCTTGTCCCACTAGAGACACTTGTAGAGCACAAGCAGCACTCTGCAAGAAGCAATGAATCTCGATGTGTTTTTTACGTTTCGTGTTACAATGGTAGCAGGGTATGATAGTACCCTCTCCCGAAAGGTGGATTACGGGTTGGCAGGTAAACCACGACGGTGTACAGTCACCCGCATATATTTTATTGTTACCATACCTTCATTTTATGGCAGATCGTATTGTAAATTCAATAATACCAAACGTTACAAGTTTTGGTGTGTTTCTTATGGCATAATATAGTACTAGCTTTTGCCCGCGGCTTCGCTTGGGTTAATTTATCCCCTTAGGGGTGGAATTTATGAAAATACTTTCTTATTTATGAAAATTCTTAGGGGATGCCTACGTCATAGTAGCTTTATGCATGCAAAATCTCAGCCCGATCGGCTTAAAATTGACAAAAATTTTCATGCAATCTAAAATTCATCCTTTCCTATTTTATCCCCTTGGGGATAGAATTAATCAAAATCCTTTCTTAGCGGATGCCTCCGTCATAACATCTACCTGCATGCCAAATTTCAGCCAGATCCGTTCAGTGGTTTGGGCTGTGCGTTGATAGATCACTATGTCAGTCACCTTTGAGTTATATATATTTAGATTAGTGATTGCTATCCGTATGTATGTTCGCGGGTTCGATGCCCACCCAATACTTCTGTGGGCATGGCTTCGTACTGCGCTATTAAACGGGATCTATAGTGTAGTTTTTTCATTTAGAGATTTTTTTATGGATGATAATGGA